TTACATTGTGATTCGCCACGTCTATGATTGCTTTTGTTTTGGTGAGGAAATCTAATCCTAATACAATGTTTATTGGCAATTTAGGTGCTATTAGGAAACTGAATGTCCAAGAGAAGTGTCTAATTTTAAAGTGTAGCTTTGCCATGTGTGAGAAAATTACCTTGTCGCCTGAGGCTGAAATAGCGAATTGATTGATCGGAGTGATTGATTTTGTAATTAAGTGATTATTTTTGATTGTATCAAAAAAGGATCGTGAGCAAATTGACGTCGTAGAACCTGTATCTATGAGTGCATTTGTTTCAATGTCGCCGAAAAAAATTGGTATTGTACATGTTTTTAATTTAGGAAAGTTTGGAGCATTTTTGTTTTTATGGCTATGTGTGTGTGTGTTTTGGTTGATTGTTGTGTGTGAATAGGCGCTATGACGTGTCGGAGGTGCGAGAGCGCCAATTATCGGCCTCCTCTGGAGTTTAACTGTGTATTGTGTGTAGGTGTGTGTTGGTCTGCAGGGTTGGTGGGCGGGCGGTAGTGTCTGGGGTCATTGACCTGCCTCGGTGCGCCGTGATATGCACTGTTATGCACTGGTGTCCTATAGTATGTATTTGGCTGCATATGTGGTCGATGTGGGAATCTTGGTTGCCCATGTGGCTGTTGCATGTATTGTGGTGTGTATTGCCTATGTTGAGGTGTGAGTTGCCTATTTTGAGGTGTGAATTGTCTATTTTGAGGTGTGAATTGCCTATTTTGAGGTGTAAATTGCCTGTTTTGAGGTGTGAATTGCCTATTATTTTCTGTTCTGGTTTCCCATCGGCGTGATTGCGAGTTGTTACCCTCCTCTAACTGTCTCACAACTTCTAATTTTGGGATAAGCGCTATTAAATCATCAAGTTTGGTCGGCGGCGGAAACCCTGCAAGACGTGCCCTATTTGTCGCGTTTATACCTGTCAATATTACCTCCAGTAAGTCGTATTCTGTTGGTATTAGGATTTCTGCTGATTCTTTCACCTGGATAATGAAATCTGAAAGTGACTCGAATTGACCCTGTACCCTATAGACTGTTTGAGTCAGGAGCTGTTGTTTTGCCCTTTCTGGCAGAAAGGTACTAATTATAGTAGGAATTGTTTTACCCTTGACCTCCCAGTTCTCCTGTAATGCCATGGTCCAAATATCCCTTAATTGCCCTGCTGTTTTGTGTAACAATGCTATTGTGATTGATTTGTCGTCGGCTAACTTTAATTTCTCAATTTGAATGGCCGTTTTCAAGAAGGCTAACAATTTGCTTGTGTCCGTGCCGTCGCAGTTGGGAGCTTTCGACGCTAGATCGTCGACTAATCTCGGGTTTGTGTGGGTGTGTGTTGATTGTGTTACTGGTTTGTTTTGAGATAAAGCTTGAGCGATTGAATCGCCTATGGCTTGGGCTGTGATTCTAATCATTTCCGCCGTCTGATCCGCTAAGATGGGTGTGTTTTGTTCCGTGGGTTTTGGTGTGTCTGGTACCGTTGGCACTTGCGCTGTCACCGCGTTCTTTAAAATGACCCTATTTTCTTCCAGTGTCTTGGCTGGGGTTAAGCCCCACTTCTCGCACTGTAGAATTGCGCTTTGCGCATCAAAATCTCGTATCCATGATACCCCTGTGGGTTTTGTTTCCCACTCGTAAATCTTGGACATCTTGCCTTGATCTACTATTATTTGAATAGTAAAAAAATTCAAGACCTAAAAACCTTTTTGATATCAACTATTTTACCAAACAGGTGGGAAGAGTTTGGGCTGGGCAAATTGTAATTTAATAAGACAAAGAGAGAAATTATTTAAAAAAAAGGTGTGAATTTTGCCTAATGATTGTATTTTACTGCAATTGGTGTGTCAAATGTTTGACTAAGATCTGATTCCCTATATTGTTCAAATGTATGTCGTCCCTACGATTTGAATGTCTGTACGTGTGTAAATAATATTTATTTGAATTTAAAACATGTGTTAGAAAAATTGGCTGGGTATTTTGATTTGACAATGTGTGTAAAAATGTGTTGAATTGAGTAATTTTATCTATTGTGTGTGGTGTATATTCTGACCTAGGGAAATATGGTAATCCTAACAGTATCAACCTGGTGCCTAGATAACGTTTCCTGATTACCCTGAGCAATGATACATATTGCTGTGTCATCATTGTTATTGATGTATTGCTGAATATGTCATTGGTTCCTATCCACAACAATAATGGTATTTCACTGTTGAAATATGGATTTGTGATTTTAATTTGTTTCTTTAATTGTCCAATTGTTGCGCCTGAAATCCCCATACTGTATTCTAATTTTAATTTACTACCTTCTCGGTTAACAAAATATTCCAGACGTTTAGTCAGTGAATCGCCGAGTATTTGAATTTGTATCATATTACGGTATCAAGGTGGTCGAAAGAGTGTAGCAGGGTAATGGCATGTCGGTATGTCGGAATTCTTTTGTTTGGTTGTAGTGTCGGGCCTGCATGTTCAAGGTCGCTGCGAGTGAATGAAACTTTGTGAACTGTAAAATATAAAACTGTAATGCATTTTATGTCTGACATCTATTGCTGTACTGATTGTTGTGTTATTGTTGTACTAAATTACATGAAATTTTATGTAAGATAATAATTTGTTAATGTGAACAATGAATTGACTCTGTGGTTTTGGCTCGATTCAGAAGGAATCAACACTGTCAATTAACGGCCTAAATTGACTGAAATGTTGCGAAGTGACGATTTACTCAAGCAAATGTTGTAAACAGGCTCTTGGCTTTCTTTTGATTATGTAGTACATTTTTTTTTACATTTATTATTATTATATATTTTTTTTTTACGTTTTAAATGTTTTTCTGTTTTTATATTTATTTTATATATTTATTTGTATTTTTGTTTAAGATGAGCCTGTAATAACTGTGTGTAATGTATATTTAAATCGTGTATGTTTGCTTGGAAATAACAAATCTGGCCTTAAATCGTCGCTTTATCTTTGAACTTCTGTTATCTAACATTCCAGTTCTGTTCTAAGTCTGTCTGGCCTATTAATGACATGGACTCTCAACTTTCACTAGCCCACCTCAAATATCAAAACTTTGCTGAACAACTTAAATTCTAAACACAACTTAAATTAAGGTGATGAGTTACAACTAAAATATGTCAGACTACGCTTTAAAATACTATTTTAATCATTAATTAATTCACTGCAGTACCCTTTCGGCTGTAAAAATTATGAAATAAAAATTTTTGGTGATATTTATGACTTTTTGGGGTTGGGGAGGTGACATACAAATGAATTTAAAATTCCCCCCAATTTTGAATTTTGATTTTTTGGTCGTGGCCTGTAAACTATACTGATGTGCACTTTGACTCCTAATATTTTGCTTTCCTTAATAAAAATATTCATCAAACACTCATTCGGCCTGTCGTCGAGGTATATTTAGTTTAATTACTGCCTTTCAGACTTGATGTCGAACTCGTGAGTGATTACATAAATGCATTTAAATATATTCATCAACTTGGTTTGGTAAAATATTAATAAAAAACATCAAGGTTCTCCTAATTCTACTTTGAAATTAAAACATTCTCATTAAAATTGATTTTTAAATTTTCCTTGGAAATAAAATAAACTGAATGATATTGATTCACATTTCATGACGTGCCTAGCTATGCATGCTCGTGCATTCCAGGTCGCCACGTGGTGCCGACCTGTAGCCTGTCGATTTCCTGTCTGAACAAAGCACTTGGCTGGTCTGAGACACGTTTTAATCTATTCTATTTCTGTTAAAATTGCATTTTTGGCCGGATCTTGACGCTCTGCTACCACTATGTGATGATGTGGAGTAGTATGAGTGTAAATGAAGATACCTGGGCCCTATATATCTTCCTCTAACCACTGCCAAATCACGCACATTTCCTGTCCTAACCCAACTCTATTGCAAGGAATTAATCTAACTCGTCAAAGTGCACAATATTACCTTAGCTGCCTATCACAGCCAGCTTTTATGTTCTTAATGTATCTAATTATAATATAATGAACAGAGAAATATATATATATGGACTTATTCTAATTCGTGAAAAAGGTTACTAGACTTAGCAAATGTGAATTCTAATTTACGATATTAATTGCCAGACCACGACCCTTCGAGAACCTAATAAACTACATGATTGAATTACCTTTGCCCTAACCTACACCCTTCCCCAACCCCTACTTCTATTAGCTAGACATCTTAGGCTACAGTTACTTATCCAGTTAGATGTACAGCTCCAGGCGCTCGACACTACACTGTACTGCTCTTGGTTCGCTGCGCGTGCCTACCCGGGTGACTGCGCGCGCATCGTAGTCATGTGACTTGCGCTATTGTAGCGATCCGCTACATGTTTTAACCCAACGACGTCCATTGGACTGAAGACTCAAAACTAGCCCGCCTGATGATGGTACAACTTCGTGCCGAAACCTAGGTCGCAACATCCGACTTATTTGAACTGGTGACTGAAGGTATTTCAAACCATTATGTTAGTTATTATAACCAGTTCAGGGGCAATCCCACATCTTATTGTGTCGAAATTATATCAAGTGAACAATCTTCAAAGAAATGTGGAATATTCAACAATTAAAACTTGAAAAGTCCGACACAGTAGTAAGACAAAGCCAGCTGGACATGCACACTGTCAGCTTTTGATTGTCGAGTTACTGGGTGTTGAGTTAGTGAGATTTTACTGTACTAATAATCCTTAAAAAAAGCAACATTAAAAATAAAATTAGGACTAATAAATAGTCTTGGCGTCACTGAAAATTAAAAAGAGAAACAGTTAGCCGCTAGCCACAGTGAATTATGCTAAAATGAACCGGCGATGTATAATTTGAAACTTTCAGACTGAACCGACTTATTAACCAGCCAGTAAGTCCACAAGATTGATGAGTACTACGGTAATAGCTTATTCCCTATATGGGAAATTCACTAAATAATGAATCATGCACATGGTGGATACTCCGGTGCTGTTTGCAGGAAGACAGTTACAACAAGAGTCATGTTGAAGCGTTGTTGTCTTCACTTGGTCTGACAGAACACATTGTCTCAGCATTGTTCAACTTGCTGGACCAAGAGAACACGTTTGGACGTGTCTCTACCACATTGCAGACAGCCTTCAGACGTAACTCTGTCTCTGCCTCTCTGTGCAAACAAGCTCTCCACCAACTGGAGCTCACCATCAGCCATGCTACTGAGCTGGGAGTCAAGGTACTCATGTTGAATTATATATATCTAACCCAAAAATAGACAATTAGACAGTTAGTCCACTGTCAGTTTTGGTCCTAGAAACAATAATGGTTTTTGGTTTTAACAATAATTTGATATTTTTTTATTGTTATACTTGTATACTTGTGCTTCTCCTATACTGCTTGGAAAGTAGTTTGTTAACTGATAAATACAATTCCAGTCTTGCTATGTATGGATTGGAATGTTTGATAAGGGAACCTACAAGAATAACTAGTGAAACAATATCTTGCATTGATCACGTTTTTGTTAAGATATCTAACAAAGATAAGGTGGAGGTTGATAGTAAAATACTACATGCCAATGTGACTGATCATACAATGGCAGTGGTGAGTGTGCGTGTGTGCGAGTACGCAGTGGGTGGAGGGGCTGGCGGAACAGCTGATCCCTCCGACGACCTTGCGTGCCGCGTGGACTATCGGCTGCTCTCGTCGCTCCTTGATAACACTGACTGGACAGATGTATACAGTAGTAGAGACCCTTCCGTTGCTTTTGATATATTTCATCTCAAATTACAGAATGCAATTCTTCATAGTAAAGTTGCAAAGAAAAATGTAAAATTCAAACAAATACATCCTTGGATGAATCATTATATTTGTATGAAAACTAAAGTAAAAAATAAAATCTATGACAAAGTTAGAAAACATCCTAATAATATTAAACTGAAACAATATTTTAAAACATTCAGAAATAAATTAGTTGTTGAAATCAGAAATTTAAAACAAGCATATTATGATAGTGTTTTTAAAAATTGTAATGGTGATTCTAAAAAAATTTGGAGAACTGTAAATAGTGTTACTGGACAATCTCGCAATAAGACAGCAATTAAGAGTTTAAATATTAATGGTAATCTAGTAGATGACGAGAAAATAATCTGTAATGAGTTTAATAACTATTTCTTATCAATTGTTCATAAATTAAATATAAATGAATCGAGACCAACTACTTTTGATCTATGTAATGAAAGTAGATGTTTTAAGACAGAAATATCACCTAAGTCAATATTTTTAGATTATGTAAATTCAGAAGATTTAATTAGTGTAATAATGTCTTTAAAAAACGGAACTTCTCCAGGATTAGATGGTATTAGTTCTTCTTTAATTAAATCAATATTTCCTAAGATATTACACGTTTTGTTACACTTAGTTAATTTGAGCTTTGAAGAAGGAATCTTCCCAGAATGTTTGAAAACGGCTGTGGTGATTCCCTTGCATAAAACCGGCTCAACGTTTGATTGCAATAATTATCGGCCAATATCTCTTCTTTTGACCTTCTCCAAGATTTTTGAAAAGGTAATGAAGAAAAAAATCATAAAATTTTTTGATATGACAAAATTTTTTAGCAAGAATCAATTTGGTTTCAGGGAAGGTTTGAATACAGAATCAGCGTTAAAGAGCTTTATGGATTGTGTTTACAATGGGATAAATGCAGGTCAAAAGGTCACTGGGATGTTTCTTGACATCAAAAAGGCTTTTGACACAGTTAATCATAAAATTCTTTTGGAAAAACTGTTTAATTGTGGTATAAGAGGGGTAGCCTATTCGTGGTTCGAAAGTTATTTAACACAGCGAACACAGTTTGTTAAAATTAATAATACTTTAAGTGAAAAAGGTTATATTGAATATGGTGTACCCCAGGGCTCTGTATTGGGTCCAATATTATTTTTAATTTATATCAATGATCTTTGTAATGCTAATTTGAAAGGTAAACTAACATCCTTCGCTGACGACACTGCATTGTGCTACTTAAAAGACAATTGGAGCGATGTAGAAGAAGCAATACATTCGGATTTGAATGCCCTAAAATGGTGGTTTACTAAAAACCAAATGCTGTTAAGCTCTGAAAAAACAAAATTTATAAATTTTAGTTTAAAATTTGAAAAGAGGTTTTTAAGTTCTATTTATTACAAATGTGTTGATTGTCTTTGTAATAATTCACAGTGTTCTGTGTGTGCCACGGTAGAACAAACAAAAAAGATCAAATATTTGGGTTTAATCTTGGATCAAGAATTAAATTGGAAATGTCACATAGAGCAGTTAAAGAATAAATTAAATAGCTATTTAAGATATTTTTATTTCCTAAGAAATTTATGTCCAGAAAATGTTTTAAGAATGCTATATTTCTCTCTGGTACATAGCAGAATTGACTATGGTTTATTCTGCTGGGGAGGGGCGTATGAAACCAACTTGAAATCTGTGTTCAAACTGCAAAAACATTTTGTCAGAATGATTAAAAGTAAGGGCAAGATGGAACCATCTCGTCCATTATTTGTTAATTTAAAAATCCTTCCTCTTAAATATATGTTTGTTTTTAAGGTGTTAAGAATGTTCTATGTTATAAGTGGTACTGAACCTATAATACATAACTTGTTCAAGAACAAATTAAGAGGTAAGCAAAAAGTAGTAGTACCCAAACCTAATTCAGTATTTTTTACAAATTGTTACAAATTCTTAGGTCCAAAAATGTTTAATGTTATTCCTGAAGTATTAACACAATGTAAAAGTTTAAGTTTGTTTTCTAAACGATTGAAAATATGGCTTTTATTCAATGAAAATATTGATTTTCTTCTAAAAATCCAAGCATAACATTTTATTTTTTATATAATTATAATATGGACAGAAATGTTGTTATTTAATTAAAAATTTAAAAAGTGTTATTGTGTTGTGGCGTTCTATTTAGAAATATTATTGGTACTGTGTTTCATGTTTATTATTATGTTAGTACTTTCGCTCTGACTCACTATTACGATGTTAATTTTAAATGATGGAACCTCTATACAGGCTTTCCTTCAGAGGTCCTATATTTCCAGGATGCTAGTATTATAATATAATGTTAATTATACTCTTTGTATTAGTTGTACATTTTTAACTGTTGTAAATCAAAACTGTAATTATCTGTAGCATTTTTGGAAATAAAGTCTATTCTATTCTATTCTATTCTATTCCTTTATGATGTAATTAAAAATATTTGCCTATTCTGAACAGTAGTTACATTTATACACAACAGACAATTAAACAATTTTATTTCAATCTTTTCACTTACTTTTTTAAATAACCAACTGCATTATGACATAAGTTTTATTAAATAAAGTGTACAGAAGGTCTTTCACAATGTTGCTTTACTTGCTTTACAATGGTCTTACAATGCTGATTTACCCAGTTAATCAGCATAGTCAAAGCAATAGGACTGGAACTGAATTATGGAAATATTTGAGATTGTTAGACATTTTAAAAACTGAGATGTTGAAGTACTGTGATAATTTAAATATAAATAGGTAATGTGTTTTTTTTTTAAAGATGAATTTAGGCTAGGGTTTTTAAGGAATTTTTAATGAGTAGGTTTAACAGCAGGCTTATCCTACTGACAAAAATGTTATGAAAAAAATAAACACAGAATTTTCTCAGGTAACTATCTACCGGTAGCTGCTTCTTCAGTAGTAGTCTTTGCTCTTGGCCTCTGTGTTTATTTATGTTTTTTAATCTATTTAAAACTATCCATTACAAAATCCTGAAATACTTTAACTTTTAAATTCATAGTCACACCTTTGTTATTTTCCAGTGTCCCATAGTGGTGTCACCAGGACTGGTAGACAACTTGTCATTTTACTCAGGGATCATCTGTCAAGTAGTCTGGGAGCAGCGCAACAAGCAAGGTCGGAGCCAGCGGACTATCATCGCAGCTGGAGGCCGCTACGATTGCCTCATTGCCAGTTTTAGGTATAAAACTCTACATGATATACAGCAGCATGTGCTTACTTTGATCTTCTCAGTTCAAATTTATCTCTTGGTCCTTAAACTACCATATATAATCAATGTAAAAATAATGTGGGTGATTTAAATATGATTTAGGGGATGGCTCAAATTGTTTTGAACATCATTCCACGAAAACTAGGGCTTAACAAGACCAATACAAACCATAGTGATCAACACTGTGTATCACGTAATCCAATCAATGTTATTGCAGTTTCCTTTCCTACTTTTAGCGAATTTCCCTATAGGGAAGTAGCTATTACCGTAGGTGGCACGGTAAGACCTAGACCCGGGACCGATTTACTTTTTCATTTTGATGTCCCCAGAGGCCAAAAACACCATTCGTTCAAATTTTTATATATGTATATATAGACTTATATATATATATATGTCCGTGAACGCGATAACTTGAGTAATATTTGTCCGATTTTGATGAAATTTGGTTTAAAGGTGTAAAGCGGGCTAAACTTGAATGAGTTCGCGAACCAGCACAATCGGACCATGGGAACGGGGCTTTACGGGGGGTTTTATGGGGTAAAAATTGGTTTTTCTCACTTTGACCCTCAAAACACAAAATTTCCCGATTTCTCTTTAGACCTTTTTAAAAAGCTTAAAAAAAACAAATGATTTAGTATATAAAAGTATTTTTGTTCGATTATTAGTAACGGAGAAAATGAAAAAAATTGTAAATTTAAAATTCCCATGTTATTCTTATGGAGAATATTGTCAAATGTTGTAGTTTGCTTGTTTATGGATATATTTTTATCAATCTTGGCAAATTTATTTATTTTGTACTAAGCTATCAATATTTTACTCAAAAACACACTTTATTAGTTTCCTTGTAGCAGCAAACCTAGGTACTCGTTAAACCTAATGTTATTAAAATATATTTCACTGAAAATCAATTCAGACAAATGGAAATTCGCTTAGTCGGCAGGTTTGCTGCGGCGGGGGTATATTTACAGTTGTAGTAGTTAGAGCGTAGGACTTATGTCCCGGGTTGAAATCCCACCAAATTACCAATGGATTTGATCTAAGTGATAATGCCGCAACCCCTAGGTCTAGCCTGAAGTAATGTGAAAAACAGTCCCGGCTCGTGCCTAGCGTCCTTGGACAAAAAATAAACAAAAAAAAACTACCCTTGACAACTGTGACGTTTTTTTAAATTTTCATATCGCCTCTGGGCCTAGCTATCTACCTGCTAATCCTTGTTTTGCGCAGAACTGTCCATCAGTTGGTTAATCACAGTGATCTTATATCCTCTCATGACAACGATCATGATGTTTTTTTTTTTTTGGGTTGAATTTCTTATGTAATTTTAGTCAATTATCGTTATAAAAAAATGTTGTGAAATCAACAACCCACAAACCTTTGACGATAGACATTTTCTTAACTTGTTTAATTGAAATTTGTCTACAGTTAATTTTATTTCTGTTCAGGTTTCTTTGAGTTGAAATATATAAGTTGTTCACTGTATGCTAGACAGATGCAAGATGAAGGACAAGGAGTGTCAGGTCAGAGTGCTGTAGGTGTGAGTGTATCACTAGACAAGCTGGCCACTGCTCTTGCAGCTGATCAGTGTGGTTTGGCTCCTGTAGATGTTGTCGTCTGCTCTGTAGGCACCAGCGCCACTACACGGGACAAGCTCACTCTGACTAGAGACCTGTGGACAGCTGGGGTCAGGACATACTTGCTTGACTCCAACCAGGTGATACTAACTATCTTTAGCCAGTAGGTACGTTATAAACTTTATAACCTGACATGTTCATTGTTCAAAACTTACAGTTCACCATCTAAAAATAGTTGTTATTAGGTTACAGTGGCAATACCTTTAAAATGGTGAGTTTAAAGTTCTATTAACAGGCTATTTTCATAAAAATGAGGTAATTTTCCAAGTATGTTTAAACTCGGTCAATTTCTTACAAATCCTGCCAATCATGCCTAAACTTTTCTAATCATACCTCAAAGGGTTAATCAATTCAGTTTTCAGTAAAAATATTGGTAATTTTAAGAATCTGTAAATGAAATTAAGGTGTCTGTTTTCTCTGAAATGAGATGTAGTAAATCAGTACTTCAAAGTTTTAAGCTTTTACAAGTTTGTAAATGAAAATCTTCTATGATTAGTTTTCTAATTTAACATTTCTTTCCAAATTTTCAATTAAAAGGTTTTATACCTACCAAAGTTATAGGAAAGGATTGTTACGCCAGTGGGATTTTTGATTGTGAATAACATTTTTTGTTATAATTATGTTTACTTAATTTATTTATCGATAGATATACTTAGATTGTGAGTGATGATAATTGACATAATTTAAAATATGTAATCTATTGTCTCATTTCAGAATTTAGAAGAAATCCAGAACTTTGCTCAGGAATTGTGTGTTCCTCATATTGTTATGCTAAAAGATACTGATCCTGGATTTGTTAGGATACGAACATTGAATAAGGACAGGTAGGCTATTAATTCAGTTTTCTTGTTGTATGTTTCTTAAATATTAACATTAACAGAACTGTGGCAATCGATCCATTGCCAAAGGATAACAATACGGATTATTTTAGTATGAATAGCCTCCTGATTGTGAAGAATAACTAATAATAATGGTTTGAATTCCTGATTATGGCAATCCAATTATTGTGTTCACAACTAGTTTCGATCTGCTAAAGAGATCATCATAAGGTGAGTACAAGGATGCTTACTTCACATGAAGGTCGTCAGGATTAAAAGTTTTTGACATATACACATAGACGAACACAAACACATAGCTCGCACACACATACGGCCGATAAAACAAAATTGTAAACACGACGAGCGGACTGGTATTATTATGCGGGAGTTGAGTCTAAACACCGGTCCCCTCGACGTGTTTACGATTTTATTTTATCGGCCGTATGTGTGTGCCCGCTATGTGTTTGTGTTCGTCTATGTGTATATGTCAAAAACTTTTAATCCTGACGACCTTCATGTGAAGTAAGCATCCTTTTACTCACCTGATGATGATCTATTTGCAGATCGAAACTAGTTGTGAACACAACAATTGGATTGCCAGAATCAGATGTTTAAACCATTATTTTAATACAGATTAGTTATAAGAGTTATTTATGGACAATGGGGGAAAATCCAATTATGCATACAAAGTGGCCTGCCTTTAGTGCTGGACTCACACTGGCAAAAAAAAGTGATTCTCTTCTTTTTGTTTCCAACCTAATATTGGTTGATTATCTTAAGAGCCGGCTGGAGCCAGCGAAAATTTCGCCTTTTGGCAGCGCCTGCAATACGTGAGATGCGGTAGCGCCACTATCGGTGGCCACTAGGGGAGTTACGTGCTCTAGCTCTATTGACAGAACTAAACCTAGGCTTCGAGAACAACACACAGTGTAAACAAAACACTGAATAACCGCAAGGAACCGAGCAAGATAGTAACGTAGCCGTAGCCGTAGCCCTTCCTAGACTCCATATCCATCATAAATCATAACAGCTGAATGTTTGTCGGGTTTGGTCGGGTCTGACCTGACCTATAGCTTGCTATGCCACATTGAAACAATTGTAGTACAAGTCATTGATATAACTTTGATACAAGATTGAATTATTTTAAAACCATTTTTAACAATGTTTAGATATAAGTTTTATTACAGTTATCGTTATGTATTTAAAAATCTGTTTGAAGCTTTTTCCTAAGAATGTTTGTTTGAGCGATTAAAATTTTATCAAAGATCCTAATAATTATATCAACCATTTTTAAAATCTAAGATTTGATTAACATACGTTTCAAAACAGTTTTAACAAAATAGTCTTTCTAAACAACATATGAACAGTTTTAACATTTGGTAAGTAGCTAGTCTTTCAATTGCTTATTAGAATTTAAATTTATAGAATTTAAAAAATAATTTCCAAAAATGTAAATACGACTAAACCGATATGTACTAACGTAAGTTACAACAAGTTTGACTAATTTTTAAACTAATTTTTAAATATAATTGATATTAAACGACTTGTCTGTCTAAGATTGTATAAAAGAACAGTTCATGTAATAAAAACGGTATTTACGTTGAACGATTTCAATACGTGTTGTTTAGTAAATTGTATTGTATTAAAGTGGGTAAGTATTTTTGTATCCATGAGTTAAATGTTATTTTAATCAAATTCGTTACAAATATGTCCTAATGTGAGGCATACTCGTATTCATTTTAGTAAACCACATTATCATTCGTCACTAACGGATGATAGGGCAGGCCCAGCAGGTAGTCCCATTGTGTCCGTGCAAGTGAGTGGGTAAAGGGTCGCCTATTTTGTAACTTTCACATTTTTGCCAAACTGTACAGGCGTGTCTAGGAATCGAACGCTTCCTCTATTCGCATTGTACTAAAGCGTGCGCGGTCCAAGTATGACAAAATAGCCTATCTCTAGAACCCCATACAGGCAATAATGGCAGTAAATTCGTCTTGTACAGTAAAAAAATATCAACATATTAAAATCCTTCGAAGAACCATCTCGCAAGGCATACTGCTGAAACTATAACAATGTTGTCTGTTTACACAACTGGTTTTTATTTTTAAAGTATACAAAAAATGCCACATCAGCCTAAAAAATGCTGTTCTCTTCTTGGCTTTTCCTCGAGCCTCCAAAATGTATCCAGGATTTCTATATTTTTTTTATAATATTCATATTATATTATATTATTATATTATAATTTTTATAATCGGCATAGTCCTACTGTTTCGAGGCTCTATTATTTCTGGGAGGACGCAGTTCTAGACTAAACAATGCTACCTGCTAACAACCACAAAGACAATCGCCGAGATAGGGTAAGGAGGAAATCTATAAACAAATACAGATATTCTCTTGCACCTTTCCTGGAACTCCTCATTCCTACTGTCGGGGAAAAAGGTAACACACTCGAGTTTCAAGCTCTACAGAAAAGTAACCAACTAACTTAGAAAAGCACGTAGTATATATAAATTTTCGTTGTTTAGGAAATTTTTATGACAGTCGGAAGGTAAAAACTGCCTGTTTTTAGAGTACCAAAAACCATCTTATGACTTTGAAAATTCACACAATGTAAACTAAACGGCAGAACTTTATCAAACTTTAATACAATATGGAAACATGTATGATGAATTAATTCGTGTAGTTTCAGAATTTTTACTCGACCCAAAAAGTTTTTGTTGTAACTTTTGTAAATCAACTTTTTCTCAAAAATGGCAAACGCTAGAAAAAAAATTAAAAGCTTGTTTCGAAGGTGATTGTTTTTGTATTTGAAATATTGATACTGCTCAACCAAATTGTTACGCATGTTATCTATATAAATTAACAAAAAACTGGATGATCTCGCGCCTGCAAGGGGTGCAGACGCCATCGCCCGCTCAGGAATCCAGTGCAGTGTTGCCACGATGGACCTTGACCGAGCGTAAGGTGATTCACGCAGTGTGTGTCACTGACTGACTCACAGGAAATATCATGCTTTGCATTATTCTAAAGGGTCGATTGTATTACCACCCCAATATAGGTGTTAAATCTGTTCAGTTTTGACCCAACAGTTCGCAGCCCATCTCTGCTCAGTGTCCAGGTGTTCAATTTGGCAACACTGTACGGGGTATGCGCCCAGTCAGAGCCGGTGGCGGTCTGGAAGTGCCGTATTCGGCCTCTGCACTATCCAAATTAAATGTTAACTTAATATGCGAAACAATTTGGTTGAGCAGTAGTAATATTTCAAATACAAAACCAATCACCTCCAAAACAAGCTTTTAAATTTTTTTCTAGCGTTTGCCGTTTTTGAGAAAAAGTTAATTTACAAAAGTTACAACAAAAACTTTTTTGGTAGAGTAAAAATTCTGAAACTACACAAATAAATTCATTATATATGTGTCTATATTGTATTTAAGTTTGATAAAGTTCTGACGTTTAGTTTACATTGTGTGAATTTTCAAAGTCATAAGATGGTTTTTGATACTGTAAAACAGGGAGTTTTTACCTTCCGACTGTCATACAAAATTTCCTAAACGAGCTAAAATTTTTTTGTTTTCACAGGAATACGTAGGATAAAACAACAAAAATGTATATATACTACGAGTTTTTCTAAGTTAGTTTGGCCACTTTTCTGTAGAGCTCCAAACTCGAGTGTCTAAACTTTTTCCCCCGACAGTAGGAACGAGAATTTTCTAAAACATGATTTATGGCTAGAGTTTATTTTTTATTTATGTTTTTTTTATGAAATGGAGTCGTCGTTGTATATATTTCTAGACTATACATCGATGCATAGAATACTTCATTTATATAGGCTAAAGAAACATATTTTCAATATAAACATGAGACAACTTTATAAGGTGTTATAGAAGGATACGTGTTAAAATTAATAGTTAAAATTGAGAACTTTTTTTTAAAGATAATGAAACATACAATAGGCTTATAAAAATTAACTGCAATACGTTCTATTCAATTGGTTATTACAATAACGCGAGAAAAGATAGATTTATATCACAACGTTGCAGGGCAGATGTAGTTTTACAATTTCATTACATCTAGTGATAATTTAGGTAGTTAAAAAATATAAAAATAGGTTTTTTTGCATGAGATAAAACGCAATAATAACATTAAACTATTCACACATAGTATTGACTAAGATATGGAGGTAAAAAATATAATTATTTTTAATTACAGTTCAATTACTTTATACTTTTATACTTTCTTATGAAATGGCGACCAGTTTTGCCCTATAGACCTAGAGACAAATTGAACTGAACTTGTACAATTTCAGTTTGCATCCGCTTCAGCGAAGTGATTGGAATATCTGTCTCTGTCATGCTTGGGGTGTTTAGTTTCTCAAGACTGTGCGACGCTAGTGCACCCTAGCGTAAGACCGCTGAACTACCTCAGTCGCTTGTCCGTGTGCTGCGGGACCCTTGATGACAAAGGTTTTTTAAAACGATCAAATTAATTACTCAGAGATTTTATTTTTTAGATGTGGTACACTCAAACAAAAACTGAAATATTGTAGTTTGTGATGGTACCAATTTCAATTACAAATATTAAAATATATGTTAGTTACAGTTGAACTAATTTACCGATATCCTTATGGGAAATCAAATTACGTATTTCATGTATATAAAATTAAAAAACAACTTTATAATGGTTTACTATACTTTATATAGTAGGATATGTAGTGACAAACATTACTAGTGTTCCTCTTTTTTAGTAAATGTCTATATATTTCCTGAAATAAGTAAAATGTGTCGCCGCTCCATGTTAAACTAGCGGGCAGCGCTGAGCTCGGGCGAGCTGGCTCCCGCCGCCTCTTAACCAGGATCAAAGTATCCTACTGTCGGGGAAAGAAGTTTAGACACTCGAGTTTGGAGCTCTACAGAAAAGTAACCAAACTAACTTAGAAAAACAGAAAACACATAGTATATGTAAATTTTCGTTGCTTTATTCTACATATTCCTGTGAAAACAAAATTTTTTTAGCTCATTTAGAAAATTTTTTATTACAGCCGGAAGGTAAAAACTCCCTGTTTTTGAGTATCAAAAACCGTCTTATGACTTTGAAAATTCGCACAATCTAAACTAAAAGTCAGAACTTTATCAAACTTTAATACAATATAGAAACATATATAATGAATTAATTTGTGTAGTTTCAGAATTTTTACCCTACCCAAAAAGTTTTAGTTGTAATTTTTGTAAATTAACTTTTTCTCCGAAACGGCAAATGCTAGAAAAAAATTGAAAAGCTTGTTTTGAAGGTGATTGGTTTTGTATTTGAAACATTCATACTGCTCAACCAAATTGTTACGCATATTATTTATATAAATTATCAAAGAAATGGATGATCTCGTGCCTGCAAGGGGTGCAGACGCCATCGCCCGCTCACGAATCCAGTGCAGTGTTGCCACGATGGACCTTGGCCGAGCGTAAGGTGATTCACGCAGTGTGTGTCACTGGGGACTGACTCACAGGAAATATCACGTTTTGCATTCTTCCAAAGGGTCAAAAGTATTACCACCCCAAATATGTCATACTATATCAGTAATCCACCTCAGCCTGTCTTCTATTTTAGCTAGTGTCACATCGCTAAAAATGGGTGCTAAATCCAAATTGGCAGATTCGGAATATGCAATGATTATCATCAGTGCTAGATGTTTTTTTAGAAGTGAGGGAGTGCCGTTGGAGGTCCAAAGCCATCATTAGAAAAAGTAATGGGAAATAGTTAATAATTAATAATATCTGCTGTTCAGTTTTTGACTAAACAGTTCGCAGCCCATCGCTGCTCAGTGTCCAGGTGTTCAATTTGGCACTGTAGGGGGTAAGCGCCCAGTCAGAGCCGGCGGTGGTCTGGAAGTGCCGTATTCGGCCTCTGCACTATCCAAATTAAATGTTAACTTATATAAATAATATGCGTAATAATGTGGATGTGTATTCATCCATTTAATATTGTATTAAAGTTTGATAAAGTTCTGACTTTTAGTTTACATTGTGCGAATTTTCAAAGTAATAAGATGGTTTTTGATACTCTAAAAACAGCGAGTTTTTACCTTCCTACTGTCATAAAAAATTTTCTAAATGAGCTAAAAAAATTTTGTTTTCACAGGAATACGTAGAATAAAACAACGAAAATTTACATATACTATGTGAAGTTAGTTTGGTTACTTTTCTGTAGAGCTCCAAACTCGAGTGTCTAAACTTTTTTCCCCGACAGTAGGTGTTATTAGCTTTTTACTTTTTTATTACTTTATAGTGCATGCATGACTTGGAAGTAGCGGTTACCTGCAGGAAATGTGGCCTATTGAAGTCCATCGGGTTATGCCAATGATCAATTCACTGGTGGTTGCTGATTCAAAAGTAGTGTTGAATAACAGATTATCTTTGAGGTTGTTTTAAGTCATTTTAGGCTTTAAGCGTTGTCCAGAGTTTTCAATGATTCCATGGACCTGGAAAGTTTAGAAAGTTGGCTTGGTTTACAAATAGGCCAAAAGCCAGTAAAATTGTCCTAAAATTATAAAGAGCAAGGGAAATGAAAACAGAAACTTTTAACATTCACTTAGGCGTTTTAAAAATTATTTTTCTGTAAAAATTAGCCTTGTTGCTTTTAAATTTTTGAATATAAGCCATTCGTTATCATGTTCTTTGTTATTAGATAAGTAGAAAATAGGTGTAAGCCGACTATCAATGGTGGAGGCCGCATTATTAAATTCAATGTTGATAACTTTAATCCTAAATAAACACCGATGTTTTAAAATTTACATGGTGAACAGAACATCTTGATAAGAGGACTGTACTACAATAGGCCAGTTAGGGCCAGGAAAAGTCAGAGAAATCAAAAGAGAAATAATTGTGGAAACCTTGTTGTTGCAGATTTCAAGAGAAGAGGGTATCTCAAAGTGAGTGTGTGGAGCATCTAGTACGTCTGTGTCAGACCAGCGAGTCTGTCAGCAACAGCTTGTCTAGGTCTGAGTCCAAAACATCTACTGTCATTACAGACACACCTGTGGTCAACGTATCATTCCTCATCGGAGAAAAGCTGTCCAGCACCATGAAGCGCCGTTATGAGAGCCAAGTAATGTATTGCTTCATTATGATTATAGTCTTTTATTTGTCAGAAGGTATTGTCCCCAGCTCATTCGTATAATACTAGAAAGAGAAATGAGGTTATCCTGCCACATAGATTAAAGTTTTTTGAAAAGAAACCAACCTACACAGGATATACTTTTCTTAAATATATTCCAGAAAACATAAGAAGAGAAAATAATTTAAATAAGTTCAGGAAATTGCTGAAAGAGTATTTAATACAACTGGCCCCTTACTCCATAGAAGAATTTTCCACCTCCCAGATATAACCTACTGTAGATATAAATATTTTTGTTATTACTTTTCATTTTTGCTTGGTTAACTGTAAATAGTAGATTTTAATTAGATTTAGTATTGTATTATATATGACGCTATTTACTGTACAAACTATGTACAAAAAATGAATAAAGAACTTTGACTATGACTATGACTATTGTGAGGGGTCACTTACTATTACAAATCAATATTATTCAAATGTATCTCTAAACGTGCAAAGAAAAAAGCTTTATTTTTAACAAAACTGTCAGAACATACGTAGTTGAAACACCAACGTACAATCCATTTAACACGAATAACGTACAAATGTAGGTTGGTTTGAATTTAAGAATAATTTCATCACTGTACACATTTTAAAATTTGAAATGTTCACTTACTGTATGTTCATTCATGTATTTTGACTTAGACCTACTGACGTAATAGATAAAAATTTTAATTTTTAACTACAGTACTGCAAATTGATTGTCACTGAATAATATAATCCTAAAAATTTCTCTTGCCATTGATCAGGGGTCTCATTGATGGGGGGTGTGGCACTCTACTCAAAAGAAGAATATGTTAAGTCAATTCAGCTAATCGACTAGGAAAATAAATAAATTCTAGGAATATACCAACCCCCAGGCGAGAATGTGAAACCGCTATAGACATCATATCAGATATTCTTGAGATCCATGAAGCCCGTAAAATAACAACCTTGATTGTAGGGGATATAAATATTGACAGATAAGAAAAAGTCATGAAAATGTACTCTTAGATGTTTAAAAACTGCTATTTACCAGCCACTCGAATAACACACAACGCAGCCAACTTCATCGACTGTGTATGCTACACAGCACAATTTTGTAAATTAAATTAAATCCACCATGAAAACTCAAACCACTACAAAGAGAAAAATAAATAGCCAAAACCTACAAAACCTGAAACACTTCCTCTGAGAACAAATCTTGGATAGAGTACATGAAGCCTCTGACACCAATATTGCGTTTGATAGTTTTAATCACCTGCTCAATTTGGTCTTAGACACAACTTATCCACTGTTTGTCTGAAATTATTTTCAATTAAATCTATTTAAATAACATTAGGTTTAACGAGTACCTACCTAAGTTTGCTGCTACAAGGAAACTAATCAAGTGTGTTTTTTAGTAAAATATTATTAGCTTAGTATAAAATAGATAAATTTCCCAATTTTGATCAAAATGTATGCATAAACAAGCAAACTACAACATTTTACAATATGCTCCAAAAAATAACATGGTTACGGTATTTTAAATTTACAATTTTTTTATTTTCTCCATAACCAATTACTTTACAAAAACACTGTAATATACTAAATCATTTGTTTCTTTAAGCTCTTTAAAATGATCTATAGAAAAATTGGGAAATATTTGTGTTTTTAGAGTAAAAAATTAGAAAAACCCAGTTTTATCCCATAAACCCCCCCCCCCCCTGTAAAACCACGTTCCCATAATCTGATCATGCTGGCTCGCGAACTCATTCAAGTTGATTGATTGATTGACTCATTCAAGTTTATCCCGCCTTACACTTTCAAACCAAATTTCATCAAAATCGGATAATAATTACTCAAGTCGCGTTCACGGACACATATACATTACATTTATAACTTTTTGAACGGAAAGTGTTTTTGGCCTCTGGGGACATCAAAATGAAAAAGTAAACCGGTCCCGGGCCTAGGTCTTACCATGACACCTACAGGAATAGCTACTTCCCTATAGGGAAATTCGCTAAATGAAAGTAAAAAGAAACAGATAACGTTTTACAATGAGGAATCCCGTACCCTGAGGAGAGTATACTAACGGCCCTCCTCAAGTTTGAGATGACTGGAAACATTAAAGATAAAATAGACATGGTGAACAAAAAAGAAGCTATGACTTACACTTAAGGAACCTTAGGCAGTTATCAACCCACAAATTCATTGAACAATCCGATATATTGAACAAATTGATAATAATGATAATGGAACAGTTTGTTTCTGCTATATTCTTAGACTATAGCAAGGCGTTTGACTGCCTCGGACATAAATTACTGTGTAACAAGCTCGTAGCCTAGGAATGACTGGCTTGACCAATAAATGGTTCAGAAGTTATCTTGAGGGCCGCTCACAAGTTGAGCTATTACACTCAGTAGAAAAACCAGGCATACACCTATCACTCAACCTCTAACAAGAGAAGTACCTCAGGTATCTGTCTTGCGCCCAATCTATAAGTATAAAAGAGGATGTTTGTATATATATTTGGCAGTGATAAACTCAGACACCGCTGAACCGATTGCCACGAAACTTGGTACATACGTGTAGAATTTCATGGAATAGGTTTATACACCATCAATTTTGTGATCCGTCCAATCGGCTCCGCCCCAGTGGCTCTGGAGTTTCCCATGTTAACCTTATGAGAAATGGAATTAATGAATCTTAACAGCTGTTTCAATTAACCCATTGGCGCCGACTTATGAGCGTTACTCGTACGGCTGCTGCAGGCCCGGCGGCTGACTTACGAGTGCCGCTCGTGTCACCGCTACGCAGCGCCACTAGTTATTTAATTAATATTATTTTCCTCCCTTTTTGTTTCTTCTTACTTTTATAATGTTTATAAATATCTTGCTTATTGATTTGTGTGTTTACTCATTTATTTTAGCGAATAACAAACAATTTTGTGTTACCATGGAAACCAGATATCACAAAAAATCAGCTGTGGTAAGGTAAACAAAAAATTTTTTTTCTACGTTATTACTAAAAATACCCCCGCCGCAGCAAACCTGCAGACTAAGCGAATTTCCATTTGATTTACACTGAAATGTCTACTTAAAAATATAACATTTATTCCCGATTTAAATAGAATTAGTTTAACAAGTACTTAGGTTTGCTGCATCAGGGAGGTAAAACTGTTTTTTTTTTATGTTAACAGTTAGGCCTAGTAAGAAATAAAAACATTTTTCAAATTTGATCAAAATATGTTCATAAACAAGCAAACTACAACAGTTTACTTATTCTCCATAAGAATAACATGGGAATTTTAAATTTACAATTTTTTTGGAATTTTCTCCGTAACCATTAGGCGCATAATAACGCTTCAATATACTAAATTATTTGTTTTTTTAAGCTCTATAAAATGGTTTGGAAAGAAATTGCTAAATTTTATGTTTTTTGGGTCAAAAATGCGAAAAACCTATTTTTACCCCATAAAACCCCCCGTAAACCCCCGTTCCCATGGTCCGATCATGCTGGATCGCGAACTCGTTCGAATAAACGTAGATTTACACGTTTGTACCGAATTTCATCAAAATCGGATCATTTTTGCTCGAGTTATAGTGCTAACGGACACATATATATATATATATATATAAATATATAAATATATATATATATATGAATTTGAACGGATGGTGTTTTTGGTCTCTAGGGACCTCGAAACGAAAAAAAAAATCGGTCCCGCGTCCAGGTCTTACCATGAGTACTACGATAATAGCTTATTCCCTATATGGGAAATTCGCTAAAAGTACACAACTTTTGATTTTTCTACGTAGGGAATCAATTGAACTTTATAATAGTAGTGTTATTTGGTGTCTGGATTCATCTTGGAATTTGTATATCAAGTTTACTTTAAAAAAATTGTTTTTAAAATTTTTATTTCTATAAACTTTATAATTTTAGTTTTACACTTTGACTATCCAATTACCACTTTTCTGTAGACAATTTTACTGTGAACAAAATGGTGAAAGAATTATTAATTTATTACCTAAGGTTTTCTTTCTATGGTAATTAAAATAAAAGTCTACAAATTCGCTAAAATTATTTGCCGACTGAGGGTGCTGCAGGCAGTGCATTAATTCCTTCCCCAATGGGTTAAACAAGTTGGTTCTGTTCTATGATGTTCAATAGCATTAAAGTTACAAGGATTACCAACAGTGTGCAGCACTATTATTTATTTTACATTTATGACAACAGCTAATTTGCAACCAAAAGGTGAGTGAGCATAGCGAACGAACTTCAACCCGGAGGCGAGTTAGCGTAGTGAACGAGCTAACCTGAAGGCAAGTGAGTGTAGCAAACGAGCTAACCTGAAGGCAAGTGAGCGCAGCGAACGAGCTCCAACTTAAAGGTGAGTGAGCTTAGCGAACGAGCTCCAACCTAAAGGTGAGTGAGCGGAGCGAACGAACTTCAATCAGGACGTGATTGAGCCATGCGAACAAGATCATCTTGAAAATTAAGAAGTTAAACGGGGCAAAGCCCGCGGGTTATAGCTAGTACTATTTATTTTACTAACAAATTATTTCCCAAATGAAATGCTGACCCAAAATAAAACCACAGTATGTATACGTTTGTAGAGTATGTAGACGACACTACCCTACTAATCAGTAACAGTACTGCAGTTGAACACTTGCTTTACATGAAAAGGCCACAAATATAGCAATAGTATATTTTGTAAATAATTAACAACCCAGATGCACTTCTTAACAAAGAAAGACATAATACAAAATGCAGCAGATCTAACAGAAGCAACTTTGCCAAAATTCCTCTGCATTATGTTAGACAGCAGGTTCACCTAGACCGAACATATCATAAAACTTTGCAAAAAAATCAGGACAAGTATTTATGTTGTATGAAGAGTTAAGTGGATTGCAGGACCAGCAGCAGCTAAAACCGCATATTTCTCACTAGTAGAATCCCACATCCGCTATGTTCTACTAGTGTCATGAGGAACACTATCAGAAAATTTGAACCGGATTCTCCTTCTGCACAAGAAAGCTGTCAGAATCCTGGCAAACCTTGAACCACGTCAAACCCACAGACATGCATTTCAGGACCTTGAAATTATGACAGTTGTATCTCTGTACATTCAAGAAAGTATTCTGCATGTGGACAAAATTTAACCAGCAAGAAACAGAGACTTCCGCTACAACACCCACTCACCGTACCACTCTTGCTGAGAAAAACCATCATACAACGGCTGCAAGCTACGAAACCACCTTCCTGCATCCATGAGAGACCTCACTGGGTACAACCTCAAGACCAAGTTGAAGATATGGCTGATGAAAAGACCTTTCTACACCCTAGACAAATTTCTTGAGAGGAGAGAAGATCTATCATAAACCAGAAATTATTTTTAAAGCCTTGACTTTAGACACTATTGTAATTCTTGATGAGTTGTATAATAAAGATATTTTTTACTTTGATCAGTTGTCTTAATTCGGAGAACTCTAATGGTTTACTAATTCACAGTGTAGAGGTGTTTTAGATTGATACTTGTTTACAGGTACTCAATTCTATCCTACAGACTTTGCAGCGACTGTCACCCAAGTTTCGCACTGAGGTGGTGGTGGTCAACATGGAGGCAGATGTGATCAAGATGTTGGCATCTCACATTGATCTCAGTCTAGAGGATCAAGATATGTCTTCTGTTGTCAAGAGGTAACTACAGTCTACAGTAACAGAAACAGTTTCAAAACTCCTTTTGTCAACTACAGTGTTAAACCCCCCTAAATTTAGTACAGGGTACACCAAAGTTAACTATCATTTATGCTGACAATCAGTTACATTTAAGCTTTCATTCACTAGCAATTTATTTTTACAATTTCACTGTCACAAGTCACTCCTTGGGGATATCCAGCTGATATGCTGGAAACGGGGTCCACTTGGATTTGGTATGGTTTTAGTTGAAGTGTATATACTTCTTTTTTTTAAATAGGTCAATATTTTCACCTTGCCAAGTCATGTGTTGGTATACTAGTTTGCAGTGCTCTATTTGGGGGGGGGGGGGAACGCGGCAGAACGGAGTTCCGGTACCTCTCTTTCAGAAAGATAAAAATATTGGGATAGGTTCTAATCACATTAAATAGGTTACAGTTCCTGCACCTCATTTTTATAAAAATCAAGCACTGCTTGTTTGTTAAGCTACATTTTATTGTTTTCCATCATTATTTACCTTTACAGTCCATAACTTGATGTAGGAATTCTATTTTCATTTACTGACTGACGACTCTGTTTACAGATTCCCTAAACATAAGAAGACTATTTATAAACTAATCGAGCAGTTGCAGGAGCTCAAGAATAACAACTCCAAAGTAACTATCATCTTATACAGCATCATGGACAATACCTTCAAAGTGCTCTTATAAGATAGGGCACACCTTATTGTAGTAATTACAGGGTGTCAATTGATCTTCAAAAAAACCTGTCACGTCAGCCTAGATTATAGATAACCCCACCTATAGTGTAGGAATAATACAAATATTTTTTAATAATGTTAAGGAATTGCTGCATTAACGGCATATTCAGTAAAATCTCTATTTCTATTAACCGTCACCTGTGGGTGCGGGACTACAGCGGTTAACTGAATAGACAGTTAACTAAAATGCTGGTTAGTAATTTTTTTATAAAATAGTTTTATACAAAAAAAAATAATAAAGGGTACTCAGTTTTCTTATATATTAAAACTTATTACATTATACTAAACACCATCAAAATCTGTGGTGCGTAAAAAAAACTAGAAAAAAAGATAAATTTTATGATTACAGAGTGACGGTTAACACGTTGACTGCGCGCGCCGACTTTACAGGCGCTCCCCAGTGGTGGGCGAAGCCCCGGCGCGCAACCGAATCAGCGAACGCAATTGGCATTCAAATATTTCAGTCTGACGAATCACAAAAGAGCAGTGGTGACTGTGCTGCGTTATCCCGAGAGTGGATGTAGTTCACTGAAACACCCAAAGGTAGCAGCACTGCATGGATCCGTATCCAGTGTCTTTGTAATGTGGGTTGAAGAGAAAAAATCCCCGAAACCGGGACAAAAGCATTGCCAGACAGGATTTTACGGGAAATTTTAGTACCAACCTACACCAAAGTAAAGCTCGCATTCTAAGCTGGCAGGCTGGCAACGATTATAACGTCTCCGTCTGAGGCTAAGCTCACACTGACTCAATATATTTCTGTTGGTCTGGTGCCGACTTTAGTCGGCGCGCGCCACCTGGGAGCGCTGGCGACGCCGACTAAAGTCGGCACGCGCAGTCGACGTGTTAATCAAGGTTTTACTGTTGTGTAAGATGAATTAAGCAGATGGGTTAAGATGTTTGATGTGTTCTAACTGCTCAAAAGCTACTTAGCTAGTATTATTTTGTTGAATTCCTCATTGATCTTGATTAACTGTTGTACAACTAGGATAAAACTTATATTAATTTTGATTATGATTTTAGGAAAAGAATCTTTCCTTTTTTCTAGATGCAAAAAATTATTATTTGTCTATTTATTTATATTTAATATACTCAGAATGATCTGGTTGCTATCAGGTGATGTCAGGGAGTAGTTGCTGGATAGTCTGGGTAGTTGAGTAGTTATTGTGCTCACATTGAAGGTCACTGGTTTCATTCCATGCGTGTCGATTCTGAACCCATTTACAATTTGTTATCGGTTTATTAACTTTGGTGATACTTAGCAAAATGACGACAGTAGATAGTAACAAGACCAGGGTTTACACGGGTCTCTTGCACAAAAACGTAAAATTGTAAGTGGCGTGGATAAATAAAATAAACGGTATCAGCAATCTGCCTATTACCTTGTTAACAACCTTTATCATGGGTAAGCAGTGGGAATAACTATGATATTTTTTGGGAAAATCACAAAAGTTTCCATAACTTTTGTACTGTACTTTTTACAGCAATGCGGGTTGTACCATTATGTTTACAGTTTACAATTATAAGAACCATAAAATATTAACTCGGGACCGATTTACTTTTTCATTTTGTTGTCCCCAGAGGCCAAAAACACCATTCGTTCAAATTTATATATATATATGTGTGTCCGTAAAAACGACAACTTGAGTAATTTTTGTCAGATTTTGATGAAATTTGGTTTTAAGGTGTAAGGAAAGGTAAACTTGAAATAGTTCACGAACCAGCGTGATCGGACCATGGGAACGGGGTTTTATGGGGTAAAAATTGGTTTTTCTAATTTTTGACCCTCAAAAAACATAAAATTTCCCAATTTCCCACAAACAAATAGTTTAGTTTATCGAAGTGTTTTTGTACGGTTATTGGTTTAAGAGGAAACTCAAAAAATTGAAAATATAAAATTCCCATGTTATTTTTAGGTGAATATTGTAAAATGCAGTAGTTTGCTTGTTTATGGATATCACACTTGGCAAATTTATTGATTTTATCTTATATACTAAAAAACTTTTGCAAAACTTATGATAGCTAGCCTGACCATACTACTGGACCGAATTACTCGCGGTTGGTACCAAATGAAAGATATTTTCCTGTAGATGTGCAGAATCCCTTTATAAATTAAAATAGGCTCAAAAATAAGCACAAAAAATTTATTTTAAATTTAAAAAAATTAACATGGGTCTTATGGGTTGCCATGCTGGTGACAAAATAGCAACAAAATATAAACAGAAAATAAAAACAAATGGAAGAAATTCCAATCACATGTTTTATTTACAGCGTGGGGTGAAAATAGAGAAGTTTTCACAATACATACTTTTGGTAGGGTTTTCGACCATGGGGTGAGCTCTCGTACTAAGCTATAATAATTTTACTAAAAAACAGACTTAAATTGAAAATCATTTCAGGCAATTGGAAATTTGCTTAGACAGCAGGTTTGCTGTGGCGGAGGTATTTTATGTTTTTTAATGGAAAAATCACATAAATTACAATAACTTTTGAACCATATTTTTTACAGCAATGGGGTTATACTATTTTGTTAAGAGTTAATAGGACTATAACATACTAAATCTATATATCTATGTCTATATCTATATAATTTCTAAAGTACTTTTTTTGTTGGTAGGCCATAACTTCCTTAATTCTTAAGCCATAACTACCAAATGCTGGTGGGATTATTTGCTTGTTGTTATACGCAAAATGGGAGACGGACAGCGTGCCAGATCCTTGTTTGCGGTAATCCCCAGATTTATGATCTAGGGCAGTGGTTGCTGGAGGAGGGGTGAGAAAGATCCCTTCATTCTTGGTTGGAGTTTTGGTGTCATACCACAACTAAACTGTTCACATATGGGTCACTTGAATGGACTTCCGTATGACTAACAAATATTATATGCAGCAAAGGAAACATGTATTCATATATATTTTCTGTTTTCTCGCTAAACTATTTATAATAATTTGAATACTTGATGTGTCTTAAGAGTCCCGTTGCTACTGTACGAGAAAACTTCTTTTTCTAGTTTTTTCTTGTTCTTCTCATCTTGATCTTTTCATTATTAATTCATACAGGCCTCATATAAATACGGTTAGTTGGAAGTCTTAGATTTTCCTTATGACTTGTGGTACGGTATAAAGACAATTTAAATTACAAAAAATCTAACTATATATTAATTACGTAAGCCGAGATTCTTTGTGTAAAAATTGTGGGCGATTGGTAAGTCGTAGAATGACGGGAGAGGGCTCAAATTAAAGGTCTCGATCCCGTGATGGCGGGAAAAATAGTGAAATTCCCAAAATTGCTACACAAAATTCGATATAACGTAAAAAATGTTCTCCATAAGAATAGCATTAGAAGCCATTTACTGCTGATTTTTGTTTACTTCAATACAGCTGATCGTGATTTATCATTAAGCCAGTAAGCAATATTGGGTCTGACTTAGGGGAGGTACGAATGAGGCATTTAGTTCAAAATTCCTCCGTGAACAGCGCTGTAGTAGAGAGCACTTTGGCAATGAAGGTTTACTAATCGCAAAAATAGTTCTGTTCATAAAATAAAATTATAAATGTCTCAAATTCAATTTTATTATTTTTTATTTATAAAATTAAACTATCATAACCTAACCGAACTAACCAAACTTGCTGATAAAGAAATAATATAACAAAAGTTTAGAAATCGGAAAAATAATTCTGTTTATTAAATAAAACTAGAATTTGCTCAATTAAAATTTTATAATGACTTAATAATAAAATTAAACTGTAATAACCGAACCAAACCAACCAAACTTGCTGATAATAAAAAAATCTTGGACAAAAAGTTAATGCTACCAGCAGGATTCGAACCCGGGACCTACAGTATATCAGCCCAGCACGCTAACCATCAGACCACCGAGGCCGATAACTACCGATCGTTTTGTTACGGTAATGGCGTTCCCTAAGCTAATAAGAAGCCCACAGCTGTCATCGTAGCCTCTTCTATACCTCCCCTGAGTAAATACCAAGCAATATTACATTTGGATTACTCATTTGCCAGTCAATTCTGCAATGTACTATATAAAAAACCAGGACTTTCTAACGTTATCTATAATAATAAGACTTTTTAGTTACGTTATAGACTGTTGAAATAAATTATTTTTCTGTGAAACTGATCAAATGTGTGTAGTTTTAATGTTTAACATGAAACAACCAAATTGACTAAATAATTAACAATTCAAGATTAAATGGAAAACTTCTGCTTTGTTTTTATTTCAAAACGTGTTCAAGATTTATTCTACACTTTCTTTGTAGATTTACTAACATTTTTAGTTTAAGATTTGTTGTACAAAAGCGAACAAAGACAAACAACAAATTGTTTTACACCATATATTTGTTGTACTGGGATATCCTGACACTTTGATAATTTGATTCTGAGTTTGTAAATATTACAATAATTTGTTTTACATATTTGAGCTTTTTAGGGACTTATGTCCCTACAAGCCGCTAGTAACCATAATAATAACTTATCTCTCCCTCCCCCTCTGCCAACAATCACTCTCACTTTCTCACCTCTCCATGAGCCTACCTGGAACTGACAGGTCAACAGACCGTAATTAACAGGATTTCAGTCTGGAACGTGTTCCTCTACACCCATGCAAGATTGGACTCACAGTCCCAGCTTTTTTAAATGTGGCTTTAAATTCTTTGTAGCAATTTTATCTGTTACCATTTCTATGTTGTACAAGGAGTAATATTCTAATTATAATGGTGACTAAGTTAATTAAAAAGAGATGTGCCAGGCTTTAAATTAATGTTGCTTTGTAATTTCAATATTTTACTCAATTTTTGTCATTATATTTCATTTTACAAATTTCATATATGTAGATGTTTTTAAAACTGCAAGAAAACAAAAAAATATTTGTTTCTATATACTATTATACTATTATATGTATACTATTGGATCAATGTTTACTTTTTCTGTAAAATTAATATTTTTACTGTCTATGCTAGAAGTCTTCTTGTTAATACCGGTACTTAATTTATTTGTGGTGTGTAGTGTGTTTTTTATTAGTTGGTAGATAATTTATTTTGCATGTCTCCTTAAATAATTGAAATCAATAATTTAATATTTAATTACTTAATTAAATTAGTAAAATGCATTACATCATCGAGCAACTATTTCATCCACACTCGGTTTCACATGTACATTTCTTCAAAA